TCTGCGATCTCTGTGCTCGGTCGACGCAGTCACGCAGCACTTCAGAAGCTCCGTCTCACCGTCTGTGCTCTAAAGCTCCGTCTCCCCGTTTGTGCTCGGATGCTCTGTCTCTCCACCTGTGCTCCGATTCACACATTAGCAGCTGCTAAGGGTTCTGAACTTTTGGCTTCTGGGAAAGGCCGCAAGGATTGGGAGTTGGGACATTGGGTAGGGCTTTGGCCCAAGTAATACGGATAGTTGGATAATATACGGAGTATTAACTAACAAACGGGCCAGTCCAGGTCCTGTAGAATTTTAAAATTGAGAACCGGACCTGTCCAAAAACTTATAAGGACCAGACCGTTATAATTTTTTTAAAAAAGGACCTGCCCCTAACGCGGACCAAACCTGTCGGTTTGGTTCCGACTCACGGTTCCTGGACCCGTTTGCCCACCCCTAAACAAAACTATATAGAGATGTACTCCAAGGTTCATAGATCATTTTGGCATAATTAATTCATAGTTTTAACATCAATTTCATGGTTTATGATTCTTGGTTCTTCAAGCATGTCAAACACAAAACTCAACCAAACGACCGTTTATGAACATTGAAACAATCTATACGAACATTCTAGTCATTAGATATATCTACGGGCTTACCTCGAACTTAAATGGAGTTTTAGAAATTTTCCGGCGAAACTTCCGGCTATGATAACTCCTAACTCCGACGACTTTGGCGGCAACCAACAATACCAGACTACTCTCCTCACTCTTATGAACACAATGGTATTAATTTCCAGAAAATTAGTGAAGAAATGGTAAGGATTAAGTATCCTTATATAGGAGAAGAGAAGAGGAAGAAGACACTGGCTGAGTCATTGCTACGTCTCTAAATCCCGTAGTGGAGGTGTCTGCGCCGATCGAATATTTCCACGATACTTCCCTGATTGGGACTAATTTTGGTCCCAGTCGGGGTACACTTTTTGGTCAAACTTTCTCCAGATTGAAATCCATTTGCACCGTTGCAATCGTACAGTTAAACTCTATCCAACTATATAATTTTCATAATTATTTGTAATACTTTTTCTGACATCATATTTTTGAGTGTTTGACTTTGACAGAGTAAAAATTGGTTTAATTGACCTTTCTCATAAAAGGTTCTCTCATTTAATTCATATCAATTATTCTCATGTTTTATTTTAACAAATCATTTCAATATTTAGATTATAAACAAATTCTTCAAATATTTCTTGATTTGGGTCTGTACTCGGGTTCCCAATCAAGACCACACAATTAGTCAACTTATTGGATTTATCTCTATGAGATTTATCTAGATTGTGATATTGGTTATCAAAACACATTTTATTTCGGCCCAAAGCCCAATAACATTTTATTTTAATCTAAACAAATTTGATTAATCGAATAATTATTCATTAATAATTCATTAATAATTCTAGGGTATGTTTTGGGGTGTTACATGCAGCCCCTTTTAGACTAAAGTATTAACTTAGTATCTTCATATAAAACATTTCAAATTTTATTTTATCATGATAAAATATTCTGAGCAATAACGGATTTTATAAAATGTACGGAAGCTTAAACTGAATCACAATTCATAATGAAATCATTTGATATCATGCACATAATATTTAGTTTAAATATTCATTATTCATGGTATGCATAGTGCTCTTAAACTATACTTTGTATAAGGCCAAATCATAATAGTGCACTTAAACTATTCTTAGTCTAAGACTAAATTAATTTTGATCACACCCTCTTAAACTAATCCTAGTCTAAGGAAGAACACAAAATCATGACCTATCCTAGGAGTCTTTATAGGTCAAGCTCAAAATCAAATAATGGTCTCTTCTCACTGTCGGATTGGGTGGTATCCTCAAACAAGTTATTCTCTAGTTTGGTTCATAGATCACGTACATACGTTTTAACCTAGGCCATAAGATGTCATACCCGCAAGACCCAAACTAATTAAGTCACATGGGTATATCTTAGAGTTCTTCTAAATAGCCTTAATTGTTCATAATCATCATTTAAATGAGAATATTACTTTTTATCAAAGTTCAATCATCATAATCAATAATTAATAACAATCATCTTAATATTTAATAACAAACAGCGGCCTTGGGTCGAATGTAACACCCCAGCTTACTCTCAAGCATAAAATAAGACTCTTAAATTGATCAAAACCCCATATTTTTCTTGGAAATGATATTGATACTAGTTTACAATTGAAAGGTAATAAAAATTGGATCTTAGAGCTTCAAAATTGGATCTTACATCTTCAAAATTGGATTTTCCAGTGCTGGGATAGCTCGGAACGGTCGACTGTTACCGTACAACACCCGTCAACTATTACCACCACCGTGCAACAGGGCTTAGAATGGTTGACTATTCCTAATAACGTACGGGAATGTCAACTGGTTGCGTGACAGTCGACCGTTCCAAGCAGCGGTCAGTCGTTCTGCAACTGTTCATCTTTCGCATTGGTTCAACTTTTGGAAACACCATTTTAAGCCACAAAACTTCAATTAAACTATGAGGAATTTACTTAAATAGCACTAAAGCATAATGACTTTCTCTAAATAGCACTACATATGTTTTTCTTTCCAATGTAGCATTTTTAGTCATTATGAATTAGTCATTATTCAAGTAAATATTCGCCATCAATGGACATTATAGACATTATTAAGTGCTATTTAAGGAATAAAAAAATTTAAGTGCTATTTAGGGAAATGACTTAAGTTTTAGTGCTATTTAGTGCAAATATTTCTTAAACTATATAAAAATATTCTCTAACGTTCATAGATCATTTTTATACCATTAATTCGAAGTTTTAACAACAATTTAAAGGTTTATGATTCTTGGTTCATCAACAATGTCCAACACAAAACTCTACCATATGAACATTTATGAATGTAAAAACAATCTATATGAACATTTTAATAAGTAAATATATCTAAAGGCTCACCTCGAGCTTAAACAGAGGAATAGGAAAATTTCCAGCGGAAGTTCTAAAAACTACTACGGCTACCTCCGACGACCTCAAACTCTTCGGCCAGCATCACAACTCTCTCCACACAATAAGGAAAGAATGAAAGAAGAATGAGGGTAAATGGCGAGGAATTGAGGGAGTTAGGTATTCTTTAAATACGGAGAAGATGGAGAAGAAGCCAAAGGATGCTGAGTGGTGAAATCGGCGATCGGCGTTAGTGCGATTTTCTCCGATTCCATATGTCTCTCCCTAATAAGAACTAAAAAGGTCCCAATCGGGGTACACTTTTTGGTCCATCTTTCTCCAAATTAAAATCTGATTGCACCGTTGCAAACAGACAGTCAAACTCTACACAACGGTATAATTTTCAAAATCAATTGACAAACTTTATAAATCACTTATTTTTGGATCCTTCTTAGTAATTAATTAATTATCAATTAATTGATGATTTCGTAATTAATTAATTATCAATTAATTAATTCTAACATGCCTATTTTCGGGGCGTTACATTTGCAGTCCAAAATGGTTTTGGGATCTTTATCTATGTGCTTGGGGGCCTCCATTAAGCTTCCATCTTAGTTGTAAAGAACTAGCTTGTTGTATTTCCGAGATGTGGTGTGGTAGTGGTCGATACTCTGGCTTATTCACTTTGTTTCTTTGTAATACTTGTTTGCCACTTGATTGGTAGGTTTATTGTCACGACTAATGATAACTTATTTAGCATTATGTGTTATGTGTGTGTGTGTCTACATATACATATACATCTACATATACATATACATATACATATACATATACATATACATATACATATACATATACATATACATATACATATACATATACATATACATATACATATACATATACATATACATATACATATACATATACATATACATATACATATACATATACATATACATATACATATACATATACATATACATATACATATACATATAAAATTGAACAAATATTGTTAATTTTAGATTTCATCAGTCAATATGATTGGTTTCAGATTTAATCCATTATATATTGGATCTTCACTTTTGTGGATCTTCTTGGTTTTGGTTAGGATCATTCAGTTCGAGTTATTGGTTTCGGGTTTTTGCTTTGCAAGGTCTATATGTATACTTTAAGATAATAAAATAAAATATATTTCGCGTGCATCACTTGTATGGGGAGTGTATTATAAAACTAGATGGGGTATATATTTTATTTTACATATGAGTTAATTATTTTTATTGTACTATTTTATAATCCCTCATTCAGGTTTAATATTTTTGTTTCTTTTTTTTTCTGTCATATACATCCGTGTTTGGACAAAAATACCTTTTCATTCATCAAGAATTTTCAGCAACCCATATATATCTACTTTTTAGTAAGAGTAATCTTACTATATACAATGCTAAGAGGGCATTGTGAATAGTGTTCCCGCTCTTTTTACTGCTATAGTATGGGCCGGCTGGGCTGCTTTGTATTGGGCCAAAAATGAGTCCACATTTGACAGCTTTTTTTAGCTTCTACTTTATGCTAGGTGTGAGGCTCCATAAAGTAAACAAATCATGCTTTATTGAGCCACGTGATACATCAAGCACACTTTACATCAAATCAAGAACTTAAATAGATTTGTACAATCTAAGGATTTAATGTGCTTTCAATTACTTGACTCAAAAAGCTATTATATATTCACTATGCCTGAATACTTTTGAATTCCACCGTATAAACACACCAATTCCTTCTTGCACCATATTTGAGTTCTTTTGCTTCGTTGAGATGGCCGAAAATTCTCAAAGAAATTCTAGGACAATGTTTACTCTGATTTCCAAGCTTGACAACAACCGTACAACTTGGATTCTCAAGTTAAGGGCTATTCGTCTTTCACGATGAGCATGTATTGTATTCACGAACTTATTATATTTTTTTATCAATTGCATTACTTACATTGTATCACTCAAATTGCAAATGTGTCACTCAAATACTCATAATATCTACCTTTTCTATAGGGAACGAGGATTCATGCACATCTCAACCGCCCGGAAAAAAAGAAGTTTGAAAACCAAATCACCGAGGATGGTGTTTATGCCATTCGAAATGTGCATGTTCACGACAACTATCAAAGTTTGAAAACAACCGCACATGATAAGCTCTTGGGTTTTTTCAGAGATACTGAAGTGAAAACTTTGAATCGGAGTGATTTTCCACGGATCATGTTTGATTTAAAACCATTTCGAGTTCTTCAAAGCCAACCATGTTTGAATGATCAAGTTTTGATTGGTATTATTTCATAGAGAAACATTTTAAAACTTCTTCATTTCTTTTTCAAAGGTTAAGCATATTTATTTCTTTAAAATTCGTATAAATGAAACAATAAATGAATCTCCCACCACACGTTTTTTTTTAAAAAAATTTGAGCCCTTCGAAAATTTGTTCAGTTTTTTAAACAGTTTCATTCATATGAAAATTTATAACCCATATTATAAAATATGTCTCAACATCTTTATATCAAAAATAGATTTTAGATCAATCATACAAATGACTTATATTAAGAGCTATTTTATGCAGACGTGATTGGAAAGATTGTTGCCCGAACTAAGGTTCAAACGAACATTACTAGAGCCGGAGATCAAAAATTCATGGAAGTCACACTTGAGGATCGTGAGTATGCATATAAATATGAGAATAATGTCATTTAGTTAAAAATAATTTATTCAGATTTGAGCAATGAAATGATATTATAGGGGAAATCGATTTGGATGCACTCTATGGGGAGAGTATGTGGATCGTTTTTTGGGTTGTTTAACCCAAAATGCTCAAGAACCGGTGATCATGTTGTTGAGCTTTTGCAAACCACGGCGTTATATGGGTAAATTATTTCTTTTATTTTGTGATTTAACTACTTTAATGATGGATATATATAATATTTACATCGTATGTTTATAGGTACTGTGACGGTCTCTTCTGCGTTTCATGTTACGAAGATGCTTTTCGATGGTAACTCTCCAGAGGTCAACGAATTCAGAGCAAGGTATATTTTTTAAATATAAATACTGAATTAATTTTATAGGATGATTACACCTCCTCATCTAAAAAATTTTATGTATCCAGATTGCCTCTACAAATGGATGACGTTGGAACAATTGGAAGTATCGTTCTAAGCGCTGGAGCTGATGAGGATGAAGGTGTTATCAAGACTACCACGATCAAAGCACTCTTGGACACTACAAAGATGACGTGTTAAAAATTCTAAATTTAATGTTCAAAAGTCTTATATAAAAGTCTTAAAATTTGTGTTTGATGTTTTATAGCCCTGTCCCTACTGGATTGTTCGTAAGATTGCTTCAATGAATGATTCGGGCACTGGTGCTATTTGGGATGCACCGACTGCAACAAAAAGGTTGTCCCTGATGGTGATAAGTTCAGGTGTACGGGATGCAACACTACCATGCTGCACGGAGTGTACAGGTGAGCATCATTTAAAAATAATTACAATTTTATAAATTTTGAAGTAATTAGTACTGAAATTTAAAAATAACAATACTTTGTGTCTTAGGTTCAAGTTCAATGTTCGGGTCTATGATTCCACCAGTCATGCTTCATTCATCCTTTGGGATAGGGAGTGCAAGGGAATTTTAGGTGCAAGTGCTTTTGTGCTCAGGGAAATTATGCTTGAGGTTTGAAATAAAGAAATATTCTTTGATTATTTTATTACTTAATCGTCACTATAATCAATAACCAAATAATTCTAACTTATTTGTTATTGTTCTTTTCTTCAGAAAAATATGGACCAAAATTTCCTTCCGATAGAGCTTAATCGTTTGCTAGGTGTACGTGGGTTGTTTCACGTCATTTTGAAAGCCGAACTTGGGAGTCCATACTGGAGTGGACCAAGAGCCTTTGGAGTTAGATCGTTGGTCACGGATGCAAAGATAATGAGCAGATTTAAAGAGTTTCTTGAGTGTGAAGAGGAAGGATTTGATGAAGAAAGTGAGGGTCTATGGGCATCTCTTGAGGATTTAAGTGAGAAGGTTCATGAAGTGGTATATTACGCAATTAAAAAATATCCAACCAAAAGATTGTTAACATTTGTAAAACATTATTTAATTTGGTTAATTTGTTTTTAGATTGCCTCGAATGACCCCAGCTCCAGCCAGAGTGTGAACCAGAAGCATAGAAGGATTGATGACTTGGACAAGACTGACTCGGTGAAAAGAGAGCTTTTTGATGACATGTCAACAACTCAATGCAAGAAAAGCAAGAAGGATAATCCAAGCCAGTGAACATCGATCAACTGTTATGTGTTTATTCATCAAATGAACCGCCTCTGTTTTTTTGTTGTTGTTTTTTATTTCGTTGGTGGTCTGCATTTCCTAGGCAACCGTCCTAGAGTACTTTAAATGTTTGTTTCTATGAACCGCCTCTGTTTTTTGTTTTTTTTTGTTATTTCGTAGGTGGTCTACTTTTCCTAGGCGACGTCATAAAGTGTTACAAATGTTTGTTTCTTCATGTTAATGTTTGATTTACGTTGAAGCTTATATTTTCTACTTTACGTTTAAGCTTATATTTTCTACTTTACCTATGCATTGTTGAAAACAGTATGAAATAGTATATTTCTATATTTGCATCATCGTACGTGAAAATTTCTTTCTGGTCCTTATATATAATAAGTTTGTTATTTATCAAGAATGAAAATATCATACATGTAGCATGTGTAGAGAAAATATTAACCACTTTAATTAATCAATTTAAACATGCAAATATACATTTGTTATACAATCCTAAAAAACGTATATAAGTGACATACGGTGTTAATTTATTTTATAGATATTCAATGATTTTCAGAATTTAAATTATTTAAAATTTGTGTTAGTCGGTTTAGTCGTTGTGCCCACGCCTTAGAGGAGGGGGGGGGGGGTGAATAAGGCGTTTAAAATCTTTTCGGAGTTTGATAAAAATGGTGTTGGCAAATGCGGAAGCAATATATAAAACGCAGAAATAAAAGCGTAAATAAAATGCACACCGATTTTATACTGGTTCGGGAAACCCCTACTCCAGTACCTCGAGGCTCCTCCTCAAGGATTTCCGAATCCACTAAGTCCCGGCCTCTTGAAATCCGTCAAAGCACCTCACTAGTTTTGGCAAACAACCCTTGCCAATAGGATTCACTCCGAGATTTCACAACGGCTATCTCGAACCGTTTACAATGAAGATTTAACGGCTATCTTCTACCGTTCCCCCAAGGATTTCAAAGGCTATCCTTGAACCTTTACCCAAGGATTTAAACGGCTATCCTCGACCGATACAATATGAGAATTTAACGGCTATTCTCGACCGTATAAAGATGTCTTTGAAGAACACAAACAAGAGTTCTACACAACGGCTTGAATATAAAAATGAAGAACAAAACTTAGCCGGTGTAGAAGGAAGGTATACTCTCTCAAAAATACAATTCAAACTTATGAATATGAGAGTATATAACTAGAAACACAAGCTCAAAGTGTGTGTAAAAAATCAGGAATTTAAGGCTCTTAAAATACCCAAAATATTGAAAATAATTAATAAACGGATGAACACACTTAGAATAAAAAGAGAGGATGTTTAGAGCTTTGTTTCTTGAAGAAATATGAAGGATTAGGCTTGTATTTATAGTGGAAGATGTTAATTAGCCGTTGGGAGGTGATTAGGGTTGATTTAATTCAAATTGGCAATTTTGCTACAGTGCTGTAACGGATCCGGTACCCTTCACGGTAGGGGGGCCGTGTCATCCGGTACCTAGGTACCGTGACACGGTACGGCCTACCGTGTGGGGGTACCGTATAGGCCAAAATAAGTTTTCTCCTCTGGCGGTACCGGGTTAGGACGGGGTGGCCTACCGTCCGTGCCTACCGTACGATACCTGGGTACCGTTACACGGTATGGGGGTACCGTGTAGGCGGTATACCCTACCGTTTGGGGTACCGCTAGGGGTACCGTGCCACTGTCCTGCTTTTTCCAAAATTCCCGTAATCCTTCGCGTTTGAGTTTAAAACCTTTTGGATATTTTGAAAATGTTTATGGGATGGTTTTAAACATATTTTGTGAGTGCTTTTGAGCTTGTGAATATAGGTATATAAAGTCATATCCTTACATTGGTTTC